GCGACGGTAGCCGTGTGTGCGTCACACCGCGATAGGTGCAACGCGGCTGTTGCCATGGCGACAGACGCCCGGCATCAACGGCGGAAGGGGCAACGTCCCAACGCCCAGGATTGTACCTACTGATCCACCCCGACCGACCGACCGACCGACCAAACGAACGAACGAACGAACGAACGAACGAACGAATGAACGAACGAACAAACCAACCCCTGAGCGATCATCCACCTGGACATTGTCGCGTCGCCGTTATATTGACGTCATATGAAACAGTCACATCATTTTAAATTGCGGAAAAAATTGTTCTATACATATAGGAGTCTATTGGAATTTCAATTGATATGATGCCTTTCGCCGTAGCTGCATTTTGATGAAGGCGAATTAACTGTTTGTATAAAATCTGCTTCTGTTGCTCTCTTTTTGTATCGATAAAATTCTTTTGGCGTAATAGCATGCCTCTCTTAGATCTTTTCCAAATGGATATATCTACGAACGCATTTTGTTGAATTAGATTTGTTTGGATGGTGCGAATATGTTTTGCAGAACTTCTTTCTGAAACGTCTTAGGAATTTTCTACCCTTTTGTTAGTGCGAGAGAAAAATTAGATGATCCAATGTGATGCAATGAACTACAAAGAATCTTGTGTCCAAGATTTAAAAAGAAATAGAAATTGTATTATATATATAAATAAATATATTTTATATATATAAAAATAAGGATTATGTTATAAAGTTTATAACATAATTCTTATTTTTGATGAAAATGGGAGGAATGACATTATTTTTGTGATATCTGCATTTTTATAGAGCAAGAAGATATGAACGGAATTACGATAGAAATAAACTGAAATAAAAGTCATGTAAAATAATGTATGTATTCTGTGAGTAATTTCTACGTAGCACAAATTCCGTTAGGGAGAGATTTATTATATATATTTGTGTCTATTGATCCTCCTTTATATTGACTCGCAGTTGTCGAGACCATTCGATATTCGTACACTTGTATACTTGTATTCTATATATGGAGGATATTATTTCTGATGCGGTATTCCGTAATAATAATAATTTTATATATAAAAAATTATGCAAACTTATATTTTTTGTACAAATAATCTGTAAATATTATCACATGTATTTGTTTTTTACAGATCATGCAGTGTCACAGCCAATTTCAATGGGTACAGGAAGACGTGTGGGAGTTGGAACGGGATATCACCATCAAGCGTCAGAAGTTGGAACAGTGCTCAGTCCTAGAAGCAGGTTTGTATATTGTTGTATCTTACTTTATAAACAGAGCTTTTTTAAATATATGTTATATACTTTAATTCATAATTACAATAAGAAAAAAACGGCATTTGTCTTTCACTGAATTGAACTTTAAACAAAATCAGATCTTGCATTTTATACAATTTAAAATTGATTTTATTAAAATATAATTGTAATGTTACAATTACAAGATTACAGAGTTGTCAAAAAAGATATGATATATTTTGGAGAAGGCTCGACTATTTATTATACAAAATATACTGTTAAGAATTTCTTCTTAGGGATTTATCTAAGATAATTGTGTAGGTGTATTTGTTATGACATTTTAGTGTGATATTATTTTTAACAAACTCTTTTTATTGCAGTGAAACAGGTGGTTTGGGAGTTAAGATGGTCGAATACGTCCTTGGATCGAGTCCCACTACACCAAAAGATCTGGAACCACGAATAGTTTCTCTGAGATTGGTGAGTATCTACTTAACATGAAAACTTATTATCGAGTTATGTTAATATGTATATATATGTATATACATTTTTATTATTTTATTATGCTTTTTCAATGCAGAACACCGATGCAGACAAGAAGGAAAAAGAAAAAGGTTCAGCAAGTCCGTTTGATAACACAAAGGATGACACTGGGCCACAAGGTAATGGATTAGCATCTCAGAACGGTCTCGATGACGACAAAGGATTCAAGTAAGTTCTATGAAGTTTATTTTATTTGTAAAGTTACTTATAAAGTTATTGGACGTTATTTGTGCAAAATATTGTGTGCACATCTTTTTACAATATCTTTGGCAAACTAAAACAAAATCATACAATTATAGAATCTTGTATAATTATTATTTTGCAAGAAATTTTTCAAAAAATTGTAGAAATTTATAATTACAATCTTTAAGCAATTGAGTAGTGTCTCGTGGACCGCAGACAGGATATGGTTTTTCTCGCTCGTTTATCCTATTCGTTTTTTCTTTGTATATTGCATTCATTGCAACAAAATACTGTAATAGCGATAACTGTCAAGGGCATGCATTACGCGCGGTCGATGACATCATAATTTCTCTCCTGTTTCCTTTTGCGATAGCTCGTCGTTAGATTTCCAGTAATGTTGCGCCATCGTTAGCACATGACAAAAAGCACTGGATAGACGGTGATGTTACCGACATTATTCACCTGTTCACCTGTTTGGATGTGCCTATACACTATTTGTGTATGCATGGAGATAAATTAAATTAATTTAAATTATTAATTTAGTTTTTTATTGTTTTACAAGATATTACATTATTAAATAAGAGAAATTACATGAAATATTTTTTTAAGACTTTAATAGGTATATTTTACAAAGATTCTTACATCATAACATAAATTTTATTAGAGAATCTATTGTTTTATACAATAGTTGCCATATTTTCATAATGTATTAATGTAGTAAGAGGAAAATGCAGAAGTATAATACAGAAGTTATCACAGTTGCTGCATTGTTATGATAATGATATTAACTCATCATTGATGTTCGTAAGCATTGTACTTTCTTTTCTTTCGAGATCATTAACGCAGGTCGTTTAACCTACGGATTATGTTCTGTTACGCGTATCTCTATTATGCAAAGTACACTGCTACATGACATGTAGTCAATTGCATATACACGGAATCTTACATGATGGATTTAGCTTCTTTATGCAGAATTATTCAAGGAATTGATTGTACTACAATTTCCATTTTTAACATACGTAATACAAATGAGATAATAAAGTTTTTCATAGCTTTATTATCTTTTTTATAACTTTTTGTCGAAAATAATGTAATTCTACTTACCAGGGAATTTTAATAATAAAATTAAATATCGTACATGATAAGAAAACCAAAACTTGTTAAATTTATTTAACTAAAGAATGTTTTAAGTAGGGCAAATCTGAGCTAGACGAAATGATAATTAGAGAGAAATGTAGCTATAATGATAATTTTTAAATCTAATGTATTTAAGAAATACTTCTACAAATTGAAACTTTAGAATCGATTTGCTTATCGAGCATTCCACGCACATTTTTCATTCACAACAAGATCCTTGACATTTATATTTATGATTGTCATTTGCAACGCCTGAAGAAATTTATACATGCAGTCAATTCTATATATAGAAAATAAAAATTTGATTCTTGCTTCTACATCAGTTTTTTCGTAGACTTTTGTTTAAATTGTTTATAACTGAATATTTATTATAATTGGAACGATGAATAAAGATGCTTGGTCTATTTTTTTTAAATAAAAATATTTGTTTTAATCTAAGTTATTGTATTTTTTATTTGTCTAATTTGATTTTTTTTTTGCAGTCGCACGCCTGGGAGTCGTCAACCGTCACCTGGTGAAGAGGAATTTCAGAAAAATGCCGCCGCCACTCTGGCTGTGAACGCCGGTGGCGGTGGTGTTGTATTGCTAAAACCCGGAGTTGATGTCGTTAGTAGCGAGGAACATTTCATGGCGGCGTTCGCGCCTGCACCACCACATCATCTGCAACATCACCAAGCGCCGCCGACTCATCATTTACAACATCCGCACTCGCACGCAGCGGCACAACTTTTCGGGGCGCAAGCTCCACCGCCGCCGCAGGGTCCGCCACCTTCGCAGCAACAACAACAACAGCAAGGTCCTCCACAGCCGCAAGACACCACTACGCACTTCGATGTCCAGGTAAGTCTTGTTTATTTTTCTTTTCTGTTTTTAAATGCTGTGGAACGAAGAGAGATTTTATATGCTTATTGTCGAGTTCGACAAATAAATGTTTCCATCATTATGTGAGGAATATCTTCACGACTGATTTGTAAACGTAAATTTTGCGGTAAGATTCTTACCAACTGTTACGAAAATTAAACATATTTCTACTTATGTTATTTATATCAGGATCATTTACTTTATGAATATTAGTTAATATTAAGAAGAGTGATGAAGAAGCGATTATTTGCCAGTTATATTATATAATTTGCTGATTGCAAAAAGATTATTGATTTTATCCCCGCATTTGTTCTATTTTACGAAAAAAATCATAGTATCGTGAACATATAAATACAATTTTATTAAGCGGTTAAAAGTAAACTGGGAATAATCGTCTAAATATATATTGTAAGATACGTCGATTGCTATTTAAAGTTCTCTGATTATGCAAATCCGCGTAACTCGTTTATTAGAGGATCAAAACCTGGCTTTGCGGTCGTTAAACGATTCCTCGTTTTAATGCGAGAATCTCTTAATAGCGCGAATTATGTTGTCTGTTAATAGTGGAAGTTCGTAAATTTTCCAGTTCCTTGCGCATAGATATTTATGAGAAATGCACATTCACATTTTCTAATTTTCTTATGCAATAAAACTACGCTCTTAATTTAGTGCCGAGAAAGCAAATAGACATTATTCGAGTTTCATTTTTATTATTTCGTATAATTATATTAATATAATTTAAAGTACATATAGAGCGGAATAAAGAATATTCTAAATGCTTATACAACGATTAGACTCTTGAACATTAATAAATTAGTTTACAAAGACTTATACAACCCTCAGACTTATACAACAGTTATGGTTTATAACATTTTATTGTTCTAATGCAGTTATTACGTAGAGTGAGATTAATCTTGATTACATAGTAAATACTTCATTCTAAAGAAGTACACTTTTCGTGGTTTGTACCGCTTTGTATCTTTCCCATGCGAGCTTCTTCCTAGAGAATTTTCTTAGTGCCCCACGATTTCTCGAAGTTAATGCAGATGTTAGATGTAATCATGGAAAAGACATTGTGTAATCTTTCATAAAACAGCTAGCTTTTTCATTTAGTACTTTTATCAACTTCTCTTTCATTTTTCTCGAAATAAAAAAGTGACTTGTAGTTAAAGTGGTCAAACTTGCAAATGCAGCTTTAATACATCTCTTTTATATATGTAAGGACGAAAATACATATTTTTTATTCACTGTATATGTGTCTATTCGAATAAATGTTAAAGATTCAAAGAAGCAAAGAAAAATAAAGCAGATTTTTTGGAAAAACTAAGAAAAATTTTTACATAAAGAAATTTCTTCATTCGGATTGGCTGCTTTTACAGACAAATTTATGAAAACATGTTTATTATTAATTTTCTATAAAGTTAAATCTGGCCACTTTAACTATTTTTATCTTCACCTCAATGCTCTTTCGTAATGCATAAATGACGACTATGGATGAAAGTTATTATGACGTGCAAAATAGAATTTAAGCACTGAATTTTGCTTTCTAGTTTTTGGTCGTACTCGAATGACATGCGATTAAAGCATAACTATTTTCGAGTATAGCTAAGCCGGAGAAAATAGCTACGTCGTTTTGCGCACGTGCGTCATGTGATGCCCGTTCGTTTTCGATGATAAACTCGACTCGCTCGATTTGGACTCGCGTACTTACCGTCACGACTCTTATGTTTATCTCATTATCATAATGTAGCTACTGGCTTCTTAAATTGAGATCTTTTTTCACGATGTGGGAAATGATATCAAACAACTTGAAAGAAAGATTTTTACAACCAGGGATTATATAAAATCGAAAGAATTGTTCTATTTCAATTTTATTTTTAGATATAGTCTTATTTGTGATCTCTAACAACCTAAGAATTGAGACAGGTTGTATTTGACATTATATCAAAGTGGAAGCGCTAAGTTTTTTATTTACTTTTCGGTCTACGAAACAACGATGCTATGATTGCCTGGCCTTGATTGTGTATATATTCTCGAGGGCATATTTTTTTTTATTCTGCCATATGAAAGTAGCTTCCGTATCCATAATAGGTGATGATTTGCGCGAATTTTAAAGAGGGGACCGAGCAACCGTGAACGGACGTATAAATCACTGACTGACAGCTTCTCGACGTGTCTACTTTGAGAGAGGACCTCTTCAGAAAATAGAACAGCATTATATCGGTACTGAATTTAGCATTCTTGCATCGTCAAGTCTTCACATTTAGACTTGTTACAGAAAGTGGTCCGGACGTATTCAAATTATTAATTTCCGAACACACGCGCAGAAAATTGATAAAATTTCATCAACAACTTTTCTTTATAACACTACGTAACCAGAACATAAATTCTTTTCAAATATAAAGAGCATCTAATAGACTTCTGTTGACGAGAAATAAAACTATAGAATCGTGAACGTGAAGAAAGAGATAATGGAGTGGTTGCAACGCGCTTTTCCGTTTACGGGAAATGGTGTCCGGAAGCGCGGCAGCAGCAGAAGTACATGTTGCGAGTATAGTGAGTCGACGGTCGCCTACAGTTGGTATCGCGGTATCGTGTTCACGATATTTGTCGGTATTCGGTTTTATAATTGAGGGATTATGTATCACTTATTAAATTACATTGCCGTAATTCTTTGAAGATCTAACGGAGTTTAATAAATATAATACAAACTTATATTAAAATAACTAAATTTAGCGTTTATTTATATTTTTTAACTGAAGCTATACAAAATCTGTCAAGTCTCATTTGATTGAGTGCAGGTGAAGAAAATATTTACCAGATTATTGAAAGGTTTTTGACCATGCTGTATTATTCCTATACTTCACTATATCTCTGTAACAACTTTATGCGACTTGCTATTGTTATTACTTGCGATATTTTGACATTTTATACTGAAGGTACCAACGGTTAATCGCTAACGCACGATACGCATATGGTTTTTTTTCATATTTTCTCTCTTTTCTTTTCCTTCTCTTCCTTTATTCGACATCTCACGTCTCGGTGAAAACGCAAAATGCGGCATCAAGCTGGCGATGAGCATGAGCATGACTAGATGTCTGGAAAAAGATAGACGCAACACTGCGCTCCGTATTAATTCTACTCGACAAGCAAGTGTTTTCATAGATATATGCGTTTTAAGCGAGAGTGAAGTAAGTCCATTTTTAGTATTTGCTTCAGACGCGACTTTGGTTGATTTTTTCTATCGCTAACAAAAATTTTTCAGAAAGAGTATATAAATGTTAACACATGTTTTACATTAAATAGGATTAATTGCGAAGCAAAAGAACACGTTTTGCTCTCTCATTATCAAAAATATCAAATTATGGCGTATATCATATTTGAAATAATGCTAAAAAATTTTTTATATAAAATAATGAAAAATATTTTCATAATCATCATGTAAATTCTTTCTTGTGCATCTAATATTTTAAATAAGAATTAATATTACTATTGTTAGTTGAATAAATACATCTGTCTACGAAGTTCAATAGTAATCGAACTATACGCTTCGCGTCTTGAGCATCTCATTCGGAAAAAAAAAGATTGACCTTGATGTTTTGCTTCGTTGCGTAAGGATTTTCGTACCGCTTATCGCGTGCCCTTTGTATATCGTATATATAAAAATAGGACGCGCGTTTTGATGAGCGAGAATCGCGCGCGTGCGTGTTTGCTGTGCTCTCGCCGTGTCTAACTGCCGTATACAATACGAGGGAGAACACGTGTGTCGGTGCACGAATAGTGCGTGCACGCGTGAGACGCTGCTCACTTGTTCGCTCGCCTTCCGATCGTGTTATTACGCGAGCGCTTGTGCTCTCCGATGCATGAAGCGATTCCCAGACCTCGCCTTCTCTTCAACCCCCTGCTCGTTCCCCCTCTTCCTGTTCTTTTCTTCTCCCCTTTTCGTCTCTTCGTCGCAATTTTTCCTCCTTCTCGCGGGTGGAGAACGAGAAAAAGAGAAAGAAAGATAGAAAGAGAGAGAGAGAGAGAGGAAAGAAAACCGTAAAGGCTGTGTAAACACGTACACAGACAAATGAAGAGAGCGAGAGAGATAGAACGGGTTGTTGACTCGCTGCCCATTCAGCATAAAGTGCAATGACTTCCTCCCGATGAAAATCTGTATCATCGCCCGAAGGTTACAATCTTCGGGCACCAAATCGTTTCTCGACATTTTGCACGTATTTTGCGCCTGGAAATTCAGAGATTCTATTTCGAAGGGTCGAATATATCCCTGATCGCGCGTTTTTCTCATCGATCTTAGATTTTCCGCGTGACCTGTTTCTTACGTCGCCGGCTGGATACTCGCTGATTTTTATTTGTCGTCTTGTAAATTGTCGGTTCTTGCCTCTTCTCGTTCGACAATTTAATTTTTCTTTCATCGGAAAATTTCGAAAAGCACATGAAATCTTGGTCACAACAATTAACATTGTCGAAAGTTTCGATAAATTTATGGATTTTACAGATTGCGGATCGTGGTTTTTATTTTTAATTTCTTACATTTAAAGATACGAGAAAGATAGGTGTTTTAATATAAGAGAGACAGATATTTTATCTGGAAAGTCTAACTGCAAACGAACAGATTGTGTAATAATTTAAATATAATTGAAAGTAGTAATAAAAGAATGTACAGCATAATTTTCTCACTTGCTCTATAAATTAGTTAAAATTAGTTTTGAGATAATCAGAGAGTGAACATTCCTTGCTAGTGGAGTCCCAAGTCGGATTTTCGTAACCTTCAGCTTTTTTCGTGGGATCCATGCCAAACGTACCGCTGCGATTGACAGTTGGACATGAAATTCACTATGCACCGTCAAAAGTGGATTTCACTGTCGTTAGTTTTCGAGTGTCAGGCGATTTGGATGCGTCGCACAGTGTGAAAATTAGGACCGAAGTATTCGATGCATGTAAATAAGCCTCAAGAGAGAAACTAAATAACCAAA